GATTATTAGTGCCCCTGTGATCCAGGTCGTGGCACAGGCCGGACACGAAAAACGAGAACTTCTCCATAGGTGTAAACCCGGGACAGTCCCGCGTGAACCGGTATATGGTTTGGGCCACGCTGTAGCCGTGGGTCCAATTGTGGTAGGGCACTTTGCGGTAGTTTTTGCGCACGGTCAAAGTGAACCGGTAGATGTCGTCCACCTCGCACTTGGTTACCCCGCTGAACGACTGGATCAGTTTCACTGATGAGAGCACCTTCTCGTCGTTGGATAGGGTGTACGGCGAGAATGCGGGGCTGGTATTAGGGGGTGCGATAAAATTTTAGTATTTTATTTGGTATTAGATTTAAAAATTTAAGTATTAATAGATGATGATAATTTGTACCAATAAACTTGCTTATTAAGTTTTAAATGAATTAATTTAGTTTTTTGGTAAATATGTTACAGTTTGTAAACGTGTTTTAAAAATGTGTATGGTATAGTAAAATTTAAATAATTTTTGTTGGTACCTATTAGTAAAATTAATGTTTGTTAATTTTATGAAATAAATTATTGAGTTATTTGTTTGCTACTAAAATAAACTGTTTACAGGTAAATTTAAAAAATTTACTCGTGATCGTTTTAGGCCAATTTAAAAATGAAAGTATATTTGTAAATTAGATTATTTGTGGACAAATTTACAGTTTTTGTAAAATTCATTTTAAAAATAGAATATATTTTATATGATAAATAAATGATTATTTAAAAAACTAATTTAGCTTACTCAGTTTCATCGGGCATTGAGTCCAATGGCAACGATTTAATTGTAATTAACTCGTCATTAGTACACGTGTTATGATATGATAGCACTTCTAACGCCACTTTGTATTTCTCCTCAGATTTGTGTATCTTTTCGTATAACTGTTTCGTAACGAACAAATATATCAAAAATTATTTGTTTAATAAATAAATAAATAAATAATTCAAAAATGAATTATTCAAGGTAATCGTAAAACTTAATAGTTTATTGTGCCCGTCATAAATAGATTTAATTTATAAAATAATCAATTATGCATGCTACTTTAAAATTATATTTAATCAAAAAATATTATGCTATAATTTAATAATGGATTTATAATGGACTTTTACGAAAGCATTAAGATTAATGATCTAGAACAAAATACAAATATTAATAAATAATTTTGCTCTAATATCATAAAGTTCACTGACAACTATTGTACGGCACTAATAAAACTATAATAGAGTTTAATACTAAAAATATATAATAAATCTTATGACACAATCATTAGACTATAATGGATTGTGAAATAAAGTGATTGATTATGCATATAGAGTTAACTGACCCTGGCATGATCCAGTGCTAATCCACAATAAGTAGCAAATACGGCAAAACTGTCCTCGTCCTCTTTGGTGAACA